GTGCAGCGTTGGGCTGGGCTGGGCGCAGGCCCAGGGAAATGGGGTGAGGGTGGGCTGGGTAAGACCCGGCCCTCCACTGCCCTGAAGACCACCCCAGTCTACCTCGGTGCTGGCCAGGAAACCTATTGGCTACCTCTCCCACCAACCCAGACTGTGGGCAGGGGGGTGGGGAGGGAATGGGCCTGGGCTTAGGACCACCCCCCTCCAGAATTTCCTCCAGATGGGGCAGTGCCCAGGGAGGGGTTATTTGTCTTCCCTGTTACGGAGGGGGAATCCCCAGTCCAGGCCCTAGGCCCCTCAGCAGGGAAGGGATCCTCGGGGAGGAGGGTCCCAGGAGCAGACCCTGCCCTCAGCCCCCACAGACACACCCCAATCTGAAAGCCATGCGTGTCCGTGTATATAGGAACTATGTACAGAGCCCGGAGAAGCCCCCCTTCATCCCCCGGGGAAAAAAAAAAAAAAGAAAACTAAACAGAAACTCATCTATATATTCTGTATCTGGAGTTCCGTTTTGAATATTAACTGTGTTATTTTTATACACTTTTTAAGCCTTAACTCGCCATTGATTTACCAGTTTAACGTTTCCTGGGGTTTTTTTTCCCCCCACGGGGTTCTCTGCCCCCTTGTTTGACTTGCGTCGTCTGATAACTCAGTATTGTAGCTTTTTGTCCGCATGTTACTACCCTGTAAATACGCTGTTATACATACTGTTAACACCCCATTTGCTTTTTTCTATGGGACCTCCAGGCCACCATATTTAGAACTAGTTACCTTATTAAAAAAGAGAAAACAGTCTGTTGGCTTCTCAGTCTGCATCTTGGTGGCAGGGAGGCAAGGGCAGGTGCCCCTCAGTGCTTCAGGAAACAAGTTTGCATTAGATTTAAGAAAGGGGTGGGGAGCAAAATAAAAATCGAAAGTGGGGGAAGACACTAAACGGGGCAAGAAACAAAGGAATTCCAAACCCTCTGCTCTTTGTATTTCTCTGTTGTGAAGAATAAACTGTACCCGCACCCGGGCGGCGGTGGCGTGTGGCGTGCTCTGTGCGAGGGCAGGGCTGGGGGGCACCTTTCCATTGCTCCTCTCCCCTCCCCCGCCCCCCAGACTTGGGGAGGAAGGGACATGGCCCCTTACTGTGGGCTAGCCTCACCCCAGCTGCTGAGCCAAGTGCTTGGTGTTGGTTACCTTACGGCCCTCTGTGTGTGTCGGCGGGGGAGGGGGGGGAGTCAGCAAACCAAGAGGGGTTTTTTGCTGAGGCTCAAGTTGCAATTAAGTGGCAGGAACACAAATTTCGCCCATGTTGGTCTCATTCTGAGTGAAGCCTTTTAGGATGGATGGGGTCCACTGGTGAGGTTCACAGCTCCCACTCCCAGAGGGGCAGCCACATCCCGTTACCCTGCGTACCGTTGGGGGTCCATTATGAATGTCTGGACTTGTGGGAGCAATTCCAATGGTTGAGGGAATGAAGAAGTCCCCTTTGCATACATCTTAGCCATGTGGGTCAGTGTTTTGATTGCCTGAGAGGGAAATGTGGGAATTAATTCCCCCAAAGTTTACCAAGGCTGCGCCTCGGCTGGGCATCCTTAGACAGAAGTGACTCTACCAAGAGTCACCATGGAGCTCACCTTCAGGAATTCACCCTGAGCCCTCACAGGCCTTGGGTGTCAAGACTTGGCTCCAAGTGATAGAAAGCCCAATGCAAACACGGATTTATTGGCTTACATAACAGAACAGTGCGGGTGTGAGGCCAGCCTCAGGGCCCAGTTGTGTCTCCAGCTCTCCACATGGCTTTGTTCTCAGAGTTGGTTTCATCTTCTGGCTCCTGTGGAGTCAACAGCTCCAGCCTCCAGGCTCGATTTCCAGCAGTCTTTCTCCCAGAAGCCCCAGGAAAAGTCTGACTGGGTCTTCCATAAAGGAGATGTGATTGGGACTGGTTTAGGTACCATCCCCGAACCAATCACTGTGACCAGAACGTTTGTACTTGATTGGCCGAGACCTAGAGCCCGTTTCTCTAAGTCTGGAGCAGAGGGTGAAACCTCAGTCTGTAGTACATCTTCCCAAAAGGAAACCAGACATGTTAACATCTGGAGGGGGAAATAGGTGTGGAGTTGCCAGGAACATGTTTTGGATAACTTCACAGGCCTTATCGTCTTCTCTGAAATCGGCCTCCCATGGCCTTCTATGCTGTGAAGGGCAGCCATGTTTATATCACATGACCCGATCCCGGCCAAAACTGATTGGCCAGCGGTGGACACCTGACTCCGCTGCGGGAGCCTTAGACCAGAGCTACCCAGTGGCGCTGGTGGTGTGTACTGGCAATTACGGTTTATGAGAGTGGACTGGGCACACCTCTTCCCCACTCCACATTCAGTGAATGTTGTACTTTGAAATCAGCCATGGTGGGATTCATACAACAGAAACTGGCAAAGGCTGCAAGGGGGCTTTCTTATTCTGGAAGAGTCAGTTGCTAAATGCTTACCAGCACACCACTGGCTCTCCAACCAGCTTCCCCAGTCCATGGTTGCGAGTAAGTCAGGAGATGGTGGACTCCTGAACCTAAAGACCGTGTGGTCCAGGGGTTGGGATGTGTGTTTGGCCAGACACAAGCAGGACAGAGGCAGACAGAAGCAGACGGAGATGGAGGGAGTAGCCGGAGAGCTTCTGTCGGACTCAGTTCCTGACTTCCCGTCTCCGTCCTCTGGCCAGGTTTAATTTCCTGCTTGTTCTCACATCAGCGAGTTTAAGTTATGGTGTGACATGGAGCAAGTTACATATGTAACCTCTCTGTACTCAATTTTCTCATATGTATGATGAGGGACATAATAGTAACCAATCTGTAGGGTGGATGTGAGGATTAAATGAATCCATATATGTCTAATGCCTAGAACTGTGCCTGGTACATAGTTAAGTACCAGTGAATGTAATCATGACTGTTACTATTTGATGTGGCCTTGGTCAATCTAAGTCCCTTATGATCAGTGAAGCCTGACTAGACAGCTGATGATGATTGGCAATTTCAGGGGTTGGCACCTGAGCTGGCCCGGCACGGTGGGGCAGCAGGGCCAGGTGAAAATTTGACATATAGGAGCCACACTCCGAGGACTGGGAGTCTGCTTTTCACCTGCCCGCCTGGAAGCCCTCAGGAGTTTCCACTGCCTCTGAGGCCCCCAGCAGGTGCTGAGGACAATGCTGATTGACAGTGACACGGATGGAGGTGGCTGCAGAAAGAGCTTAGCCCCGCCTTGTGATTCCTGCTTCTGCCCCAAGTGCCTCTAATGCCCCAACCTCCGGTGAGGGCCTCTGGGTAAGACAAAGGAGAGGGACACTCCCAAGAGGTCGTCTGTTCCACGGTGCAGCTTCCTTGACCCTTCCCTGTCCTCAGGAAGGTCTCCACCCACAGCACGAAGCTGCCCCAGCCTAGCACATGGCAACCCCTGCCTGTGCCATCATTTCCTCTTCAAGACAGGAAATGGCTGTTCTCTTGGCAGAGCCTTTGCACTGTGAACTTGCTGGAGAAGGGGAAAGGAAGGAGAGAGAGAAGGCAAATTACGTTTCCTGGAGCACCACAACAACCTCCACAAGGAGGGTGATCGACATCCCCACTTGACATATGAGAAAACTGAGACTCAGCAAAGGTAAGGGACTTGTCCACAGTCACGCACAGAGTGAGAAGAGGAAGAGACTCCCTCCTCCCCCCGCCCAACCAGATCTTCCTAGCTTGTGCTCAGCTCTCTCATGGCCCACGGGTAGTGAAGGTCGGTGGGGGTGGCCCTCAGTGAATATTACAGGGTAAGGTGGTGGACAAGTGCCCACCAGAGGAAGGAATGTTCCAGTTCAAAGTCATCAAGCGATAACCTGTTCTTAGGCACACCTAGCCTGTTCTTGTCTCTCATCCAGAATCCAAATGGCCTTCTGGGTTTTGCTAATCTAGTTTGGGGTGGGAGGCACTGGGGGACTTCAAACTGTTTTTGAGAGGGGAGAGATCTCTTAAGTCATACCATGAATAAGTGGAATTTGCTTGTAGAGATGATCAGATTGTGAAAACCATCAGGGGTGATTTATCCTGGAAATGCAGTCCTTTGGAGGAACAGTGGAGGCTGTTAAAAATGCAAGGTCTTTGAGAACACTACGTGAAGGATTCAGGGGACCTGGGATGAAATCCCACCCTCCCAGGGCCTCAAGTTTTCCCAACTGCTGCCTTCCCTGTCTCCTTGGCATTGTGACCACCGTTTCTGGAGGGCCTGATGATTTCACCTCCTGTTCAGAGCCTGTGTTTCTCCCCCACTGAGGATGAAGACTCTGGATAGCAGTCCTGGGTAAGGAAACTTACCCGTCAGATAGCCCTATTGGCCCTGCATCAAGGAAACGCCCTTTTTGTGGACAGTGCCCAGGAGAGAGGGCCATAAAGACACTTGGAATAATTTTATTACAATATTACTTAAATATGTACAAACTGTGCTTGAGGGCAGGGGAGGTGAAAGGGCAAAGCCAAGAACTCAGATGCCACCACATTTCTCCTGCAGCGGAAGCTTTCTCCTTTTGGCCCAGAAGCTATTGTCTTTTCAGAGTGAGAGCCAGGGCTGGCTGTGCAGCTGCTGCCCAGACTGACTCACAGATTCTCTGTGTCCTCAGGCAGCTTTGTTCCCTTTTCGTGTCTCAGTCTCCTTATCAAAAAGGGGTCGGGGATGGCGGTGGGTGACGGGCTAAAAGAGCTCTCCTGGAGGCATCAGCCGAATCCAGTAAGGTCAGAGGTGAAAGGTGTAGAGGCAGCCTGGCCAAGGCGCTACTGCCCCGTCGTCGTGCTTCGCTGCCGCTGTCGTCGTCCGTCCCTGTAGAAAGTGGGGGAAAGGGGATCTTTCCCTCCCAGCGAGAAACTCCCCAAAGGCCACGATCCCACGGCCGCGCCCCTGGCCGGAGCGGGCAGGGCTGTTTGCGTCCAAGCTCTCGCCGCCCTCCGGGGCGCCCGCACGGCTTCCGGGACCCCCTTCCTGGCCCGGCGGGGCCTAGTCGCGCAGCACGGCGTACTCCTTGGGCGCCCAGAGAAGGCGCGGTCGGCGGATCTCGGCCCGGCGGCCGATCTCGGGGCTCCAGCAGAACTCGGGCGACAGCACCTTGGCGGGCTTGTGCAGCCAGAAGAACTTGTTGAGGTGGCTCTCGTCGTGCCAGCGCGCCTCCAGGCCGCGCTCGCGGTCCCGCTGCATACCCCGCGCGCAGTGTGACGTCAATCCGCGCAGCGCCGCCACGCTGCCCCCGAACACCGCCGCGTGGTAGTAGAAGTCGCCGTCGCCCGGCACCAGCGCGGCAGCGGAGCGCGCGTCGCGCTCGTAGGGCAGCAGCCGCCGCGGCCAGTGGTAGTGCCAGGAGTGCAGCTGCGCCACCGACTCGGCCAGCACTTCGGGCCCGAAGGCGCCGCGGAAGTGCTGGTCCACGTCCATGCAGAGCACGAAGTGCGCCTCGCGGCCCAGCTGCCCGCCCAGCGCCTCGTGCAGCGTGTGCATACGCTGCATGGACACGTCCTGCCAGCGCCGCTCGCGGGCCACGCGCACCACGCGCAGCCGGCGGCCGGGCGCCAGCGCCACGCGGGGCACGGCGGCCGGGCGCTCGGTGAACACGTAGTACACCACGCGCTGGCCCAGCATGAAGTGCCGCTCGGCCGTCTCCAGAAAGCGCGCCAGGTACTTCTCCAGGTACCTGCCGGACGGGCGGGGCGGGTCAGGCTGAGCGCGGCGCCCACCGGGATCCGGCTCCCGGCGCCGGCCCCCGCTCCACTCCGCAGTCCCCCAACTGCAGCTTTCCCGGCGGGCACAGATGAGTGCAGTCTGCTCGCCTCTCCTGCCCAGAGGGGCTCTCGGTTCCTTCCCTTGAACGTGGGCTCCCACTACCTGCCTGGATCAACAGGGTGTCGCGGCACAGAGGCTGTGCTGGCGCTTTGGTCGACTGGGGGCGTTAGCCCTTGCCTCGTTAGGGCTCTGAGCCTTCGCTTACCAAGTCAGAGCCTTGATGCCGCAGGGACCTGAGGGAGCCCAGCTAGCTGCGCAGAAGCCTGCGTGGAGACAGTGCCCCACCGGTGTTCAGCAGTTGGCCATCCCAGGGGAGGCTCAGACCCTGGGGAGCAGCGAAGAGCCCTTCCTACGGAGCCCTGTGGGAATTCCTGCCCACAGAATCAGGAACTATAATAACAGCTGTTTTCAGTCCCTTACATAGATAACCAGGATGGTCCCTGGGTGGGGAAAGAACGGTCCTGCCCTCTTCCTGGGAGTCTGGGACAAGAGGTGCTGTCTTTGACTCCTTCACTTGAGGATCTTGTGGCCCACGGGGTTCCCCAGCCCTACATCACATGCACACCTGTTCTACTCCCTGCTTGGACAGCATGGCACCCGTCCCCAGGCCTTACCTGCCTACAGCAAAGACAGTCAGACCAATGGTGAGGTTCTGTTGTAGAGCCTTTTGCTGGGCTGCAGCTGGGTCGAAGGTGCCATCCCAAATAATGGGGGCCCCCCAGGAGGTACAGGTCAGGACATCAGGCCGGGCCCTGGCCAGGGCAGGGATGGAGAGATAGGTCCATTCGTCCACCCATTTGGTGCACGTTCACTGGGTGCAAGTGACCCCAGCCCTGGGGACCCACAAATGGTTGTGTCCCAGCCCCTGTCCCTAGAGATCCCTAGCCGAGATCCGATAGGGAGTATCGGGAGATGTGTGACCTGATGGGGCCACCGGAAGAAGTACCCGGTCCCGCTGGGGTGAGGGATGAGGAGGGCAGGGCCACTGGGCCAGAGCTCTGGAGGATGTGTGGGCGTTGGCTCCTTACCAGGGATTCAGGAGACCGGTGAAGTTGTCTCTCAGCAGGGCCATTCTGGCAGAGGGGCAGACGCCCATGGGGATGAGGGCTTCCAGATGCCTGTGGGGTGGGGGCGGCAGTGAGGGAGGGGCATGACAGCCAGCTCAGGGCCCCTCCACTTTGCTCTTTGCAAGGAGGGAAAGCCCACAAGGCCAAATGTGCAGCCAAGACAGGCACCACCCCCACCCGCACTTGGAAGGAGCCGCTTTAACCCTGACCCTGCAGGTTCCCACGCTGAGCACTGGGGGAGAGGGGTTGTACCTGACTATAGGGTGCCCATACTGGAGCAGCCCTAGGAGGCCCAGCGCAAGGAGGATCAGCCAACAGAAGATTCTCTTCCAGGTCCTGGGGGTGGGGAAGGGCATTAGCAACTCATTTATATACACGCATACACATGAGAAATTGTTTATGTAATTTTAATGTTTCATGTTTATTTTTGAATACAGATCTATCCTATTCGCATGGCACAGACATTCAGAGGTACAAAAGAATATACACAGTGCAGTCTTTCCTGGTCCTAGTCACTCAGCCGCTCTGCATGGAGGCAAGCCAGTACCACTCTTTTCCTGGGCCTCCTTCCAGAAGTGGTCTGTGCATGTACAGGCAAATATAAACGTGGCAGCACAGCAGATAGGCTGTTCTGCTTCTCGCACTTTCCACTACCTCCACCGACCATTGTCTTTGAGGTTTTTCCCTCCCAGTATCCGAAGGGCTTCCTGACCCTTTTCCCCAGCTTCCCGATAGGCTGTTCATTGCATAAAGCCAAGCAATTCGAGCAAGGCCTCACACATAGTGCCAGCTCGGTACACTCTGGCTTTGCTCTTATTCTTCCGGAGCGGACCCCCACGATGCCCTCGACATCCTTCCAACTCCACTCGCTGCCCTACAAGTCTTTCCAGAGTCTGGCTCTCCCAGTCTCTTTCAAGAAGCCTGCCTGGTCAGAGGCTCCTGCCTCCTGACCGCCTCTGCTACCCCTCTTCGCTTTTCATCAGCAGGTGTCTCTAGTAGGTAGCTCGGGAGAGGCACCTCGAGGTGGCGGTGATGTGTGCGTGCCTGCATCCACCTGCCCACCATCTCAGCACATGGCCCCTCCTTCTGCTCGGTTGGCCAAGCCAGAAACCTGGCTGCTCCCCACTCCTCCCTCTCCCTCACCCTCATCTGCTGTCAGTCCCCAGGTTGGGTTGACTTGGCCTCCTTGACGCCCTCCCCAACCCTGCGCTCAGCTCCTGCTGTGCCCCCAGCCCCCCCGAGACTCTGCTTGCATGCCTGTTCCTGGGATCATTGGGACACAAATTTCTCTGCTCCCAGCCACTCCCCACACGGCCCCCAAAGCCATTCTGGAAAATGCCCGCCTGCCTTAACAGTGTCCCTATCACACGACCAATCGTCCAAGAAGAAATGCATCCAGGAGGCAAATAAGTGCGGAAATGTTCACCCTCACTAGTAACCAAAGACATACAAATTAGAACAGGCTGGCATGTTTTACCTATGAAATGAGTTTTTTTTTTTTTTAAGGATTTTATTTATTTATTTGAGAGAGAGTGTGTGAGAGAGAGAATGAGCATAAGAAGTGGGAGGGTCAGAGGGAGAAGCAGACTCCCTGCCAAGCAGGGAGCCCGGTATGGGACTCGATCCTGGGACTCCAGGATCATGACCCGAGCCGAAGGCAGCCGTTTAACCAACTGAGCCAGCCAGGTGTCCCTAAAATGAGCTTTTTAGAAAGAAAGAAAAAGAGCAGCGCTGCAGGGATACAGTGAGGTAGACACTTTCACGCTGCCAGCGGGGGTGAAGGCTGCTAGGTCTTTTGTGGGGAGCTCCTTAGCTCTGGGAATTGAATCCCCTTTTATCCAATCTCCCCAACTTCTGGGAACCTGTTCAGTATGGAAAAAGTTGGTGCATGAAGATGTTCATGAGTTTCTGCTTATTCCGGCATTCACTCTGTATTTACTAGGCACAAGCTCAGAATCAAGCACTTGCTAGGTCAAATCTTCTGAGCTGAGCGAGGCACAGATCTTGTCTTCAGGGAATGGAGTCAGGAGGATGTGGGTGGTCAGGAAGAGAGGGAAGGGATCAGATGACAGATGGCGAAGAGATGGACACAGCACAGTAAAGGCTGCAATTAGTATAATACAAGATGCTCTGAGGGCAAATTGGAGGGTGGCAACTGAGCCTTGAAAAATGGGGAGGAAGTCAGGGAGGCTTCCTGGAAGAGGTGGCCTCTCTCAAGAAGGCAGCAGAGCGGGGAGGGAGGCCTATGAGAAGAAAATGAACAATGTACAAAAGTGAGAGATGAGAGGAAGCTTGGGGTATGCACCACGCTGCGGGCCATTCTGCAGGGTGCAGTGCAGGGAGGAGTGGGGAGAGGTGAGGCGGGAGGTAAGCCAAGGCCAGATCACACCCCAACTTGGATTCCACACAAAGAGGTATCATCTTGAGAACCACTGGGAGCCCTGAAAGATACTTTCCCCAGGGAGTGGTGCAGTCAGATTTTTATCCGCAGCTGAGCTGTTGAGCCCGGACGCTGGGGGTGCGGGAGCAGGGCTGGAGGCCAGAGAGTCGGCTGCAAGCCATTGTCAGCCCTCGGGGCTAATGGCGATGTGAGCCAGAGTGTTGGTTGTGGGGGTGGGTGGAGGAGTCAGTGGTGAAGGGCTGTCAAGGCAGTGGGCTGGGCAGGACTTGGTCATGGTTCCAGGGCTAGGGGCCTGAGTGTCCCATGGGGTGGGGAGAGGAGTGAGCCGAGGTGCAGTGGTGGAGGCAGGGGGCCTGGGCAGCTCCCAGAAATGCAACTGGAAAGAGGGAGGAGGACAGGAACCAAAGGGGCTGAGGGGCAGGGATCTGTGGAGGACCATGGGTTTCTTTTAGGAGAGGCACTTGGACTTGGCTGGATCCCCACTCGAGGCCCCACGGAGAAGGCCTTGGTGGGCTGCTGCACAGGCCCCAGCAGTCAGCCCACGGACTGACTAAATCACCCTTTACTGGCAACTCTGTGGTCACATGGAAAAATGCTTACCCAGGAAGCTTCGAGGGGGAGGGGGGAAGCAGGTTCTAAAATTAATGGGCAGTATGATTATAATTTAGCAGGAATTAAAATATGCATCAGAAAATAAGACTAAAAAAAAAGAAAACTTAAAAGTGTCTAGGCAGTAAGTTACAGTAGGGTTTTGTTTTCCTTTATTTTTCCCTTCCAGTTGTTTGTAATGTGCTTATATTGCTTTTTTAATGAAGGAAAAATACAGAGTTAGCCATTTAGAAAAACAACCACCACAACAAAGCTGTGTTAAGGCTTCCTGCTGTGTGCAAGACTGAGTCTGCCCTCTTAGCCCTGTCCAGGGAAGCCTTCAGAGCCGGGCTCCCTCGCTGTCCCACGTGAAGTGCTCTCACCTGACTTGGCTTTCCCACCTCTAGAAATGGAGACTCACAGCGGGCAAACCAAGGACAGTCTTGTAGCTGTGTCAGAAAAAGCAAATGGATGTCGGCAACCCCAGTGCTGATCAGCAGGGAACTGGATGTTGAGTTAGGCACATCTATACCACGGAAAGACACGCAACCCCTAAAAGGATGAGGTGGAGGTAGGTATGTGTACTCTCTGGAAAAGAGGTCCTGATGTAGTAAATGGAAAAGGAAACAACAGTATATATAGAGGCTGATCCCACTTCTGGGAGGGGAAAGCCCCAACACCTGAGTACCCAGGCAGTTATAGACGTGCAGATCTGTAGTCTTTTATAAACATGTAGGGAAAGATCTAGATCAGCACTGTCCAGTAGAAGAACAATGTCAGGGTGCCTGGGTGGCTCAGTCAGTTGGGCATCTGCCTTTGGCTCAGGTCATGATCTGATCCCAGATCCTGGGATCAAGCCAGCCCTACAATGGGCTCTCTGCTCAGCAGGGAGTCTGCTTCTCCCTCTCCCCCTCTGTGTGCTCTCTTTCTCTCAAATGAATAAATAAAATCTTAAAAGAAAAAAAGGAGAATGTGAGCCACATGTATGAACTGAAATTTTCTAGTAGTCACATAAAAAATGTGAAACAGCTGAAATGAATTTTAATAATATATATATATATTTTTTTATTTGTCAGAGAGAGAGGGAGAGAGAGCAAGCACAGGCAGACAGAATGGCAGGCAGAGGCAGAGGGAGAAGCAGGCTCCCTGACGAGCAAGGAGCCCGATGCGGGACTCGATCCCAGGATGCTGGGATCATGACCTGAGCCGAAGGCAGCTGCTCAACCAACTGAGCCACCCAGGCATCCCGAATTTTAATAATATTTTAATTTAACCCAATATATCTAAAATATCGTTTGAATGTATAATCGATACAAAATTGTGAAGATGTTTTATATTCTTGTTTTGTTCTAAGTCTAAATACCAAATTCAGTGTGTTTTTTAGATTTGTAGCACATTTCAGTCGGAATCAGCCACATTTACTGTGCTTGGGAGCCACACAGTGCTGGTGGCTGCCATACAGGATGGCATGATTCAGAAGACGGACCAGTTAGTGGGGGGCTGAGAGTAGAGGGAGGAGGGAATTTCTACTTAATATACGTCTATCACGTTCTACCGTACAATGAGCGGGTGTTCCTTTTGTTGTTGTTAAAGGAGCAATGGGGCCCAAATGGAGTCATTCCTGCTGAGCCCCCCATCAGCAAACCAAACCAATTAGCACCTAACTGCAGTTTCAACTTGTCCCAGAAATATACCTTTAACCAGTCATCTGGAATTCCTTGGTCAGCCCTACTGAGATTCTCCGCCTTCCCCCAGAGAAAAGTGACCCTGCTTGGACAGTCCACTCTTTGCTAGAAGCTTCCTTTCCCCCATCCCCTCCTGCTATAAAAGATTTCCATTTTGTATAGCTCCTCAGAGTTCTGTTCTGTCTGTTGAGATGAGATGCTGCCCGATTTATGAATCATTAAAGAAAAGCCGGGGCGCCTGGGTGGCTCAGTGGTTAAATCCTCTGCCTTCGGCTCAGGTCATGATCTCAGGGTCCTGGGATTGAGTCCCGCATCAAGCTCTCTGCTCGGCAGGGAGCCTGCCTCCTCCTCCTCTCTCTCTCTGCCTGCCTCTCTGCCTACTTGTGATCTGTCAAATAAATAAAAAAAAAATTCTAAAAAAAAAAAAAAAAAGAAAGCAAGCCAATTTGATCTTCAAATGTACTCAGCTGAATTTTTTTTTTTTAAACAGATTGGGTGGCACCGACAGGATCAAAGGAGACTTCTGGTGGCTTTGGGGACAATGAGAAACACAGGCATGGTACCCGTGAGCCTTTTGAATTCTCTTTCTCCGTGTTTCTGAGGGAAGGCCTTAGGTAATTCCCCTTGGTTTTGAGCTCCACCGTCTTTCCTAATGTCAAACTCCTGATCTCATTGACTTTCTGGTCTGGGGCTGGTCAGCTTGAGCGATCACAGGGTTCCACCCAGAACCCAAGCCCCAAGCCCTCAGCTTAGTCTGCAATCGCCCCCACCCCCAACTTGATTGGAACTCCCAGCACTTTGGTTCTGTCCCCAGATTCCACACTGGGGCCCGCTGGTGGTAGCTGCTGGTCCCCGATCTTTTGGGCTTGTGATTCAGGCCTTCCCCCAGTTCCATTTCCATGCTGGGAATCACTGGTGGTGCACACGAGGCCTTCTGTCCACCACTACAGATGACTGCTGGCGTCCACAGGCCCACTTCTGTGGTCACTTGGTTTCTGTTAACACATATGTAAGGTAGAGGCTATCGCTAGTGGGAGTCGTAGAAGCCAGAAAGCTCCAAAAATTGGTGGGCATGGGTCGAGCATTTAAAAACTGTTACAGCACTTGCCACCTAACCTCAAAACTCATGTGTTAGGTTAGGCTGAGTTACTAGGTCTCCTGCCAGCCTTAAGAAAATTTCTGTGCAATGAGGAACAGTTTAAAGCATCTAGTAATACCCAGTCCAGCAGCACGTCCCTTTCAAGTATTAGTTTGGTTCTGAGAGACTCAAAGGCTTTATTATTATGAGACAATAATAATGATAATGGGATCCTTAAATTCCAGAGTCAAGCGTGCCATCTTCCAGCACACTGACTTATTTTATGTCTAAGAACTACAGTACTAAAAGATTGATATCTATGAAATGGCACAATTTTATTAAAGCAGCCTAGAACTACAGTTGCCATTATGGAGAACATTCCATTTAGACAAGATCACTCATGTAAGAAGTGCACTTAAAGACAAGGGTTCCCATGGTTCCCAAGGGCACCTGAGAGGCTCAGTTGGTTAAGCGGCCAACTCTTGATTTCTACTCAGTTCATGATCTTGGGGTTGTGGGATCAAGCCCCGTGTCGGGCAACATGCTCAGCTTATCTGCTTAAGGTTCATGCTCTCTCTCCCCCCTCCCCACTACCCACTCTCGCTCTTTCTCAAATAAATCTGAAAAAAAAGTGGGGGGGGGGTTTCCCAAATCAAACCAACTGAATGGGATAGATACCTATTTTATTTTATTTTTTAAAAAGATTTTATTTATTTATTTGACAGAGATCACAAGTAGGCAGCGAGGCAGGCAGAGAGAGAGAGGGAAGCAGGCTCCCCGCTGAGCAGAGAGCCCGATGCGGGGCTTCATCCCAGGACCTTGAGATCATGACCTGAGCCGAAGGCAGAGGCTTTAACCTACTGAGTCATCCAGGCGCCCCTAGGATACCTATTTTAACTGGTATACAGAAGCTTCCCAAAGGCTTCAAGATTCCAGAAAAGCTTCATTAAAAAAAATTTTTTTTTTCATTACAAAAGGCCAATGAAAATTTAGATACAAGATCATAAAAGTCTACTAAGCCATTTGTCTTCTAGCTGTAAGGGCTGCAAGGCCAGA